TAATGATCTAGTTAGTTTCTTTGACAGGTTTAGCTGACAGCCACAAATGATGATTAGTTGAAAACTAATAGGTTTGGAGTGATGAGTTGGCGGAGAAGGCATTGGAATGGCTAAAGTCACCGGAACACCGTAATAGAATAAAAGCTGATCTGATTGTTGGAGGAAGAGGGTTTGTATTTGCTTGATCGCAAATTTTGCTGTGTTTCACTTTTCCACAATTTTTTTGCAGTCTGGTTGTTAATGCTAATGACAAAACAGTTTGGCAAAAAATACTCGATGTTTTAGAGATCCATTTTGATGAGAAGGAAGCGGAGGTGAGTTTACGGCACTGAGGCTACTGAACTGCCAGAAAATTTCCAACTTGCCATAGTGATTAAGTAATATGTGGAAGTTATTGCACCGTTTCTTCTAATAACGGTTTTAAAAAATCTGAGTCATAATAAGGCGCTCATTAATCAAACCGATTCCCATGGCCCTCTTCTCCAACGGTAGCACTCATATCGTGAATTGTGCTAAATTTTATGCATCCACTTAGGGTTATTTCGGATTGTATGTGACTAAGCTTCCAAAAATAGAAAATTGTGTTTAGCTCGAACGTCTTCCCGCAGGCACATTATACGGATGCAACGGCTACATGAGCACAAGGAGCACAAGGGACGATTACGTGTCTGCCGTCTGTCTCTATAGATTGGAAAGAGTTATGGTCATCTCTCTTCCTCAATAAACTATAGCATCTTGGAGTATAGAGAAGAACATAACATATTTCTCGTCAACCATAGATACTGTTACAGAAGATTTGACCCACAAAATGTTGAAAGGTAACTTGTTCGCAAGCATAGTCACATTTATGTGGAGAGCCTTTTCAAAATCGGTAGGGACGGTAGCAAGATTCCATCAATCTCGACGGATAGTAAAATGGTCACTATGGCCAATTGGAGAACTAACAGATGCTTTGCTCAAGAGTTCATGATCATTCGAGAAAAGTAAATACAAAATAGAGTTGCATTTCGTGGGCTCTTTTATATGCTGCTGACAATTGACTTCAGGCATGTTGAAATCTTCTTCTACTAAGATCGGAAATGATACAGTAGAAAGATCACTAAACGCTTTTGCCTATTGCTCAGAAAGGGAAGGAGTGGTGGAGGGAACTAAGACAACCCTGAAACGAGATTTAGTTGGAGCGATGTCTGCTGCTAAGATTCCACACCCTTTTGGTATGAAATCATCTATGATACCTTGGTCAAATGGCCTGCTTCTTCCTCTGTTACCTCGAATCACATCCCACTTGTATTTATCAAAAACGTATTGCTATCAAAAACGTATATGCTATTGCGTTCCCTCTTTCATATTTATCAATCATTCAGTGATGTTCTCGGAAGTTCCTAATTCTGGAAACATTCGAACATAATTCCCATTCCGAAAAACCACCTTCTTGGGATATCTCCAACAACAGGCCAATAAGTATCACCTCATTGTTCTGCAGGCTTTTTGAAAAATTACTTAAACGTCACATTCTTCGCCATTTGGAGCAGAACGAAGTAGTTCCCTCTTTCCAACATGGTTTCGTCAAGGGTTATTACCACGAATCTGATCGAGTCATTCAATGATTGGACGATTGCACTGGGCAACAAAAAGTCTGTCGATGTAATATATTATGAATTCACTAAGGCGTTTGATAAGGTCAGTCACAGTAGATTCTTATACAAAACTAGTAAACTGGGATTTCATGAATAGGTTCTGAGAAGGATTGGACAGTTTCTTAATGATAGGACCTTCCAAGTACGTATGAACGCCTCATATGCTGAGGTCTTTCCCCTTCATAGTGGTAGGCACCCCTTTGCTTCTGCCTGGCTTTTTACCGATAAGCGTTCACATACGTTCACTTGCAGTTGATCCGACTATCTCTAGATAAGAAGAACTCATGTTCGCATCGAAGTTACCACGATAGCTTGTGCTTCCTCATTCGAAGTTGTTGCCTGTGGACAGAAGCCTCAAAAGAATACGGAACTCTTTTGAAAATTATATTTCTACTTTTCATTTACGTCCTATACCTTCCCTAAATAGCCGCCCTGGAGAGCTCTCACTGTCCTGTGAGATACATACCCACGAAAAGGCGATGACGCTGACAAAATAGTCCAGACATAGCATGGCGGTTGGCTGCCATGGTGGATTTTGGCCGCCCTTTTATTCCTCCGTGGGCGATCAAGTTTTATTAGACCAGTATAAAAATCCTTAATATATTTGCCAAGAAAATCATTAACATGTTTGCTAAAGTTAAGTTGCGTTTCTGAGCGATCATGACTCTAGAGCAACGAAGAAAGCGTCTCACAATTTTTTGCAGTTATTGCACAGTTTTTCCTGCCTTTCCTATTGACCAGACATTGTCATTGCCCTGATGGTAATGTGATCATTCAAACGGTTTTGCAGGCGACACATTCGGCCGTTGGTTTATTTTGCTGTTGTGGATGAGACTGTTAGCGCGAGCCTTCAGAGGGGTAGCTTCCAAAAATCATCTACGTAATTGCAAAATTAGGCCCATAATGGCCGCATAACACTTCGGAACGAATAAAAGGAGGTTGATGAGCGGGTCCCATCTATGCACCAAGCCACAGTGGTTTGACTGATTCTCCTTTTCAGCTCCGTCGAATAGGTAGATGAATGGGTAGATGCTATTTCTTACCGAAGATTAACGAAAAGTTCTGGTCCTCGTTGTGGGGTTATTTCCAAAGTCAGAAGAAGAATCGACTACGAAGCTTCTCGCCTAGTCTGCGGAAATCTAGAGAAAAACGCGAGGTTGATTGTGCGCAAGATGTGCGAGGACCTTGAGGGCTGTGATGCTAAAAGGACTCAGGCGCACTTGACTTTGTCAGATTTACTATAAGCAACCAAATATTTGTAGGGGCTATAGATCTATTCGTTGTACTACTGAACGAAGCTGTCGCTTAGATCAAGCAGTATACTAGAAACAAGACTCCTCTTGTGCTGTTTTTCGAGAAAACTCCGTGCCTAGTATACCCCATAATCTACCTAGCACACCGTAAGATGACTTTCATGGCGTCGCGTCAGATGTCGTGGATCGGTCCTCCATGATTTGGGAGATCAATTTCCAGTATCTCCCATTTAGAGTGGTATTTTTTGGATCTGTGCAAATTCTCCATCGGATCCTTCCGTTTTTGTCCTCGATATCTTT